GAGAGGGAGCGGGAGCGTGAAAGAGAAGCGGAAAGAGCTGCGGTAGGTTTATTTGTAGCTAAGAGCTGTTTAAGGGAGTTGGCATGGTAGGATCTGACCTGGATGGTGACTACAGAATGCAAATCCCCAGAAGCGCCTTAACGCATGTGCAGTCAGGTATTTGTGAATATGGGAGCCTTGTGTATTAAGTGAAAGCCAGCCAGCTACGAGCACCTCCTGGCCTGCCTGTGACTTTCTTCTCTTTAAAGGAAATGGAGAGTTTCTGCTCCTGGTCTGTTTCTGATGTGTGGGAAGCCAATGCAGCTGGGGATAACTAGGCCAAGTATTTACTTTTACTAGCAGTAGAAAAGCACGCTGTGCAGATACAGTGAATGCCTTTGTGTACCTTGTACTACTGTGCAGGCACAAAAGTGCTGTCTGCTGGAAAAAGGGGATCTGAAGGCTTTTGAAATTTGAAGTAAACTTAATTAACTTTTTTTATGGGGAGACCCAAACTCTAGTCTTGGTATAAAGAGCCAATACAACTAACCCATTTTTCTGTGGCCTGTCGGAAAGGAATGATTATTTCTGGGCCCGTGCAATTGGTAGGTTGGTAATACATTATTGATGCTGAAAAAGAAGGTGCTAAAGTCTTCCTGTTCCATGGTGCATTTCAGAGATCTGAATCATAGCTATGTGTTTCTGTAGAATTATAATGGACAGATGCTATATCCTGACTTTTAAGGGATGTGTCATGTATGGGGGACTTTGCTTTATTTTGGGGATGGGGATCCTTGGGCAGTTGCATGGGCAAACTGTGCTTATTGCCCTCCCTGGAAGTGCTGTGCTGCCCTCGTACAGGAGGAGAGAGCAGGATGCAAAGTCCTGATGTGAAAGGAGTGGAATCTGTTGTGTTGCACATCATGGGGATGAGTTGCCTTGGGTTTAATAAGTTCTAGGATACAAGCGAGTGTGGAGAGGAGAGGAAGAATACACTGCAAACAAGACTGGTAGTCTGTAGTGACATGTATCAGCCAGCTGTTGCCCATAGCTGTGACATATGCCAACTAGTTCCTGCTCTACTAACTGTAAAGCAGTTAGTGTAGCTTTGAGGCTGCCACTACAAAGTAGTTACCTTCTGGCCTGCAGGATGGACAGAATCCAGTTCTTCCCCAAAGCACATTGGAGCACACAACTGCAGGAGTCGCAAGGCTCAGCAGGCTGAACTTTCCTCCTCTTAGAGCTTGAAGCGCAAGAAGGGAGGTGTGTGCCTGCTGTGTTTTTAAGCCAAGTGAGTTGAACTAAAATTCTCTTCCCCCATTCTGTGCAGCAGAAGGTATCCAGCTCCTCCCATGAAGGCCGTCTTGGAGAGTCTCAGCTCAGCGGGCCAGCACACATGAGACCTTCATTTGAACCTCCACCGACAACCATTGCTGCTGTGCCACCTTACATTGGTCCAGATACACCTGCTTTACGAACACTAAGTGAATATGCCCGTCCTCATGTCATGTCGCCAACAAACCGTAATCATCCCTTCTTTGTCCCCCTAAACCCCACTGATCCACTTCTGGCCTACCATATGCCTGGCCTCTACAATGTGGATCCCACCATTCGGGAACGAGAGCTGCGAGAGCGGGAAATCCGGGAGCGAGAAATCCGGGAAAGGGAGTTGAGAGAGAGGATGAAACCTGGCTTCGAGGTGAAGCCCCCAGAGCTAGATGCACTGCACCCAGCTACCAACCCCATGGAGCATTTTGCCAGGCACGGTGCACTGACTATTCCCCCAACAGCAGGACCTCACCCATTTGCTTCCTTCCATCCGGGTTTGAACCCCCTTGAAAGAGAGAGACTTGCACTGGCAGGCCCACAGTTACGGCCTGAAATGAGCTACCCTGACAGACTGGCAGCAGAGAGAATACATGCTGAGCGGATGGCATCGCTGACAAATGACCCATTGGCACGGCTCCAGATGTTCAACGTTACGCCTCACCATCACCAACATTCGCACATACACTCGCATTTACACCTACATCAGCAGGATCCCTTACATCAAGGTGAGCCCAGGGAAATGGGCTAGGCAGTTTCCTAGGGAACCTCTCTCGTGAGCTGTTAGCAGCAGTCTACCCAAACCAGGCAGACTGTGACTCTGGAATTCAAGCAGCAAAATCCCTGTTTTCTAGAATATGATGTGACTTCTGTACTGCATAAGGTTGTGGTAACTGAAATGCAAATGATTATTTTTTGGGGGAGGGTGAACCAATAACAGTGATTAAGTAAATGATGGTAACAGTACAGCGATCTTCACTAAGACTGCACACTGTCACTGTAAAAGGTTTGCTGTTTTGTTAGGGGGGTTTTTGGTTTTTGGGGTTTGTTTTTTCTTTTTTTTTTAAAGTACTGGAGTCCTAGAGCACCACCTTACAGTGGTGTCTGGTGTAGAGGTGGAGACTTCATTGGGTGAAGGGAATTTGCTAGGAGAGGTGTCATGGAACTGGTAACACTGCTAATGCTGATGGCTGTTACATTATGAGTTATAGCTGGAAAGGAGCTGAAGCCTGTGCTTCCATACAGGAGCTGAAAAAAAAAAAAATTAGGAGAGAAAGACTTGATCTCTTTAGCCATTTGACATGCCAACCATCTGGCTTTAGTTGAGCTGAAATTCTCTGTCACGATTCTCATAAGGACCATCTAAATTTATGGGTTGGCATCTTTTTAGCTACAGTGTATTCTTATGTGTGGAAGTTTTTTTCCCAAAGTATTTAATAGTCTCAAAAATGAATTGATGCCTTGCTCATTTCTAAAGCAAGCTACACGGTTACTCCTCTAGAAATCTGGAGTCTGGAAGATGAGGCACTAAGCAGAATTTTTCTGATTTTCTGGTGGCAGACTGGAGAGAACATAGCAAGCAAGGCACCAGGTGCAGTAGCTGCTAAGTAAGGGGGAAAAAAAAGTCCAAGTACTTAAAGTGCAGCTTCTGGTGCAGCTGGCTACAAATGTAGTGTTTGTGCAAGCAAATATAGCATACTTCGCCTTGGAGCAATATGCATTAAATGTAGCTGGGGTGTCTGGTTTTTGGAGTTTGGAAGGAATTTAAGTGCTGTTGCAGAAACCAAATTGTATAGCAAGGAAATCCGCAGGGTCTTATGAGATTGTTAAGGGGCGGGGGGTTAGAGGTAAGAGATTATAGTGCTGAATATCAGCACTCTTAAAGCTGTCAGCTGTGGACTTCGATTGAGACTGGCTGCACAAGTTACAAACTGGTTCAGTTTGAGGCAGGTTTGCATACCCCATTGATAGCAGAAGGAATTTGTCATAGATCGTGTCTATACAAGGATTCTGTTGTCAGGTAAGTCGCTTACCACCTCTGTGCAGGTAAGTCTAGATACTCCTCCGGTTACTTGTTCTGGACAAAAATATAGCTAGTACATTCTCACTCTCAGTCTAGTGGGAGACTCATGCAGACAAAGCCAAGTTATTTCAGTGTCAAGTCTCTCTTGCCTGTATTTGAAAAGTAATTTGGCTTTAATCTTGGATGCCAGGTTAAAATACAGTTAGGGGCTCTTGAGCGTCTCCAAGTAGTTTTTGTTCCAGGGTAGCTCCATAGGTGGGTAAGGCCCTGAAGTGCATAACCTGTATGTCTCCTTAGAGCGGGAATGAATAGAGTGTAAAATGACCACACATTTGTGCTCTGGGCCAGATAACAGCTGAGGGAGAATTGTGTTAGCTGTGTTGTATTCCTTTCATTTGCGGTACCTCTGCAATCTGCTAACAGCTTAACATGCTGAGACTTCAGAGGAGCTGATGAATAAGTATTTTTCAGGTTTTGCCAATGTCTCTTTTTTTCATCATACCGGTAAAGTGACATTAGAGATGTTGTCTACAGGTGTCCCTCTCCTCACAAGGATGGTGACAATGTCATCTTTTGCAAACAAAGGTTTTTGCCAGCTTTTGGCCTACCAAGTAGTATTGGTGGAGTCAGAAGGATGCTTAAGTCCTTCTGTACTAAATGTCACTAGTGATCCTTCAATTTTATATGTGTGAAGGGGAAATAGGAGAGCGTTTTGGGGAAAATTTTTCTAGATGCTGACCATCTTTGTTGTGAAGAGATCAGAGTTCTCTTCAGAAAGAGAGGCCGGGCGTCAGAGACTGATAGTTAAAGAAAAACATGTTTTTTCCCTGTCACAATGCTGCAATAAAGCACTCCACAGTTCTCTCTGATGGTTTTGTTTTTTCTCAGTGTAGTTACCGGAGTTGAGCATATTCCTTCCTCAGGTTATTTGTGGGAGCAGATCTGTAATTCAAGTCACTTGCACTGATAGACAGAAATGGGATTGCTTATTTCCAAGGAATCTCCAGAAAAATCAACTGAAACAATTCAGTTTGTAGCGACACGTTTGAGGTGACTTGTAAAAGCCAAGAACAGGAGATGCCTAGGAGAGCAGAGAGTAGCAAAATTTGGCCCAGAGATCCATGGATTAAGAGGTGGCCTTACATATAGCAGCACTGTGGAGTTGAAAATAAAGCTGATGTGGATTTGCCCAGCTGCTTATGGTTTTGGCTGGGTTTTTATCTCTTTGTGTCTTTTCTGTTTGCTGGGTTAATAGTGGCCTGTTCCCCAGGCCAGTCCCTTGCGCAGGCATAGCAACAAGCAGTGGTAGGTAGAGGTGGGAACAAGTGGCAGGGAGGTAAAGACTGAAGAGCAGACTGCTTTTTTCAGAGTCCACTTAAGGTGTTTGACAAGGTGTTTGCACTCTGAACACATGGTTAAAAATGTTTTTATGATAAGCAATTACAAAAAAAAAAAAATCTGTACAGGGGAGAGATCTTGCAAGGCTTAAGTAAAGGTAAGAGCAGACCTGTGCAGCAGGATTTCTTTTTTTAAGTCTTCAGTTATTGAGCAGATTTCACAGGATCATCTCAGTTTGCCTCGTTAGGCTGAGCAGGTCTGATTAGCAAGCACTGCTGCAGTGTATATGGGGGGAGTGTGGAAGGAATGTCTGAAGATGAAAGCTTAGGTGGTTTAGTTATTTGATTCCCCCCCCTACCGCTTGGTGGATTTCTTTTTCTTGTAGAAATTGAAAGCCCTGGGTAGTTGCTTTACCAATTAAGACTGTTTGGTAAGCAGATGTCACCTGAAGATAGAAAAGTGGGTTTCAAATTGGATGGAGCTAAGCTCCTGGTAATTACATGCTGGTTAGGCCAAATGCTGATCCAGCTCAAGTCTAACAGGGCTTTTGATCTCCCAACAGTGAGCGATGCTTCCCAAAGCAGTTAAATGCTTTCTTTCTTTCCTTCTTTTA